GAAGTGTAACACGTAATGCGTTCTCCTAACGAGTCTTTCGACGTACTACGGGACTCTCTCGCACTCCTTTACGCGACACACGTACACTATTTTTGTTTTTTTTTCTTCTGTTTTTTGTGCGTGCACCGCGCTTTCACAATCAATATCGCGTCATAATCAATGCATGCCGTGAAGCGAGAGTTTGAAATCGTCCTTCGATTACAGGAAGTCGGCACAATCTTGATCGATGGCATCTCAATCTTCACGTACGATAAAAATCTAGCTAATTTTTCCTTTGGACAATTCGCAACATGCTGCGCGATGAATTTGCGTACGCGGATAAAACGATTTGCTGAAATATTTAAAGATTTAGTTACATTATTTAGTTAAACTCATTTTAGTATAATATTTATTTTGTTTGATGAAGAATTATGTTTAAATCAAACGTATTATATTTGATTTTTAAATATATACATTCTTCAACGAAAGAAATAAAGATAACTAAATTAATTTAATCAATTATTAATAAACAATTAATTCAGTTTAATAAATAATTTTTTTCTCAATGTAGACACAAACTAAATATAACAGGCTTATATACATAATTATGAATAAAACTCAAGCATAATGAGCAATATTCCAATACATTTTCATATTTTAGCAGCATCAATCCTGGTTGGTATTTTTGTATGAAAATTGCATCTTCATATATTATATCGTTCTTTTAACGTCCTACATTGATTGAGCATCCTACATAAATATTTTAATAGTTCGACAAATATTTTTACATCCGTATTTAACTAAATTTTTACTTCAACAGACCCGTTTTTTTCATGTAAGTATCGATCGCAATTTTAAGCAACGAGTGGACGTATTCTAACGATAAAAAAAATCAGAGATACATTCTAATAATATATAAATGTGATTTAATTCGTTTACCGCAACACATTTATTAACTTGTCATAGATGAATCGTCGTTGGAATTTCCCCATTTCTTCATGCATTTATTCAACAATTGCTTGCCACAATTAATCGTAATTTTGGTCAATTCTAATTTCGATCTATAAATCTTTCGCTCGAGTTTTACATATAATTTATTATTGCATTACTGCTCATATATATTGCATCTTTATATATTCTATCGAGATTAGTTTAGGTTCTGAGAAAACTGCTTTATTGCAGGATGCCTCGGCAACTTGGCCGTCCGCCAAGAGATTTCGATCTACGAACCCGACCACCTTCAAATGCGGAACAATCCTTATCGAGTTTCCGCTTGCCAAGAGGATCATGCAACTTTCCACATCTATAAAACTTTGCCCGCGTTACGCTTGGAAATGTGCACGATAGAGTCCGCGGACTCAGCTCACGAATACATCGTAAAAGAGACGGGAACGTTTCTAACATAAATTATCACGTTGGAATAAAACTACTGCCGCCCGATGCTTTTTGTCATTTTATGTAACTCTTTAACGCGCGAATGAGATTTCGTAACTGTGAAGGAACCCGGGTGTTTCAGCTAACATAAGTGTGTATGTTATCTCGCTCCTTTCCCGTCTTTGGCGGGATTTCGCGCTTCTTATGATTATGATTTTTTTACGTCGCACCGGTTTTATTATCTTACCTTTCGACGCGCACTGGAATTTAATCGCTCGATATATTTTGCAAGTCAACAAGGGTCGATAAAATTTTTGGAATAATTATAAATTCCAATGAAGTAAACATCTTTATAAAAGCTGATCGATCCTGACTAGTTGGTATTTCCATAACGTTTGAAAATTGCGTCTTCATATATTTATTACATCGTTCTTTTAACGAATATGGAAATCGTATTACACGTTTCATGTCGTACAACTATTACTGCAAGTACTTTTACCCACGTAATCAGCAGCGATTATATAAATATCGATGTGTAATATCAATGTAGTACGTACTGATTATAAACGCCCGTGTTTTTGTAGTTTTGTCTAGTTTTACAGCTCGATTACGTGTCCGCCGTTCTAAACGTGAACTAATTGTATGATCCACGACGTCTCGCTTTCCGTAAATATAACTACTAACGTACATAATTATATTATCGGGATACTCTCGTTTTAATTAAATAAAATTGTAGAAACGACGCGTCGCAATATTTTAATCGAGAGGACAAACGACGGGCGCAGCGGAGAAATTGCAGAACCGGACGAAGATTTCCCTCTCGTTGACCCAGATAACGTCCGCCAGTTCGTCCGTTGAGAAGGCGATCGTGAAGCGATCGGTGACGTAATGCTCAGCCACGCGCGAGACACAATCAATGAAATTCAATGTGGACCAATCGCGTGGATAACGACGAAGTTTGTTTGGCTTGGCGTACGAGCAAGTGCACACAAACGAGAGTTCCCCGTCAATAAAGGCGCCGCGTGTCAAAATCCGCGTGTCTTGCACGATAGAACGATACGATCTTAACAATAAGCGTCATTACCGTGGCGCACGCATCTTGCAACACCCGTCGGGGATCACGATCGCGCTCGCGTGCATAATAATGTACGCCCCGTAATCAACGACGCAAAACCGCAATCCCTGGCGCCGAACGTTTGCGCGAAACCTAGAAGCCGGGTAAACATAGAATCGCTACTTTGCCGCTAAAAACGACCATTTAACATCATTTTCCTCAAGGTAGCTAGCTGTATTATTGCGCATTATATCACTGTGTGTACATTGCCCACATTTAATTTTGCAATTTTTATTCAACGGCTCGCAAGCGTGTTTTTATTGCTTTCAGCTACGCAAGACACAACATATGTAGTTTCTCTAGAGAAGGATTTGTTGGCAAATAGACTAAAACCACTTAAAAATAATTAAAATAATCAGAAATTCTTTAAATTTTACATTTTTATACCGAATCTCGTACATTGACATCTAGGAGAAAAAAATTTTGTCGTAAAAAGAAATAATAAAAAAATATATTGAATATATATAAAAATCGATAATGTACATATAAAAAAACTGTCATAAATAATCGTTTAAAATGTTTCAAAACAGACTCGAGTCTGCCTTACCAATTTAGAAGTTAATGACTACTTTCTTTCAATAATTGCTATAATAATTAGTGTTTATACTGGCGAGCGATCATTTGGAAGATATTCATACGAGAACAAACATCGTGAAGACACGCAATTATAAATGTCGAAATCGTCTTAGAGATTTCATGCTCGATATTCCAAATGTAGCTACATAAGAAGTAATGGACGCGATTGTGCAAGCAAATAAATACGAAATTCAACTAACCATTTCAAGTGGCGATATAAAATTAAATTGTCAGACTAGGTGATCTAGTCTGAATTAAACTATCCGCTTTCGAAATTTAACGTTTAAAAAAAATTTATAATTTATATTTTTGAAGAATTATGTCATACATATGTATACGTGGACAGTATATATGACCGTGTTATCAAATCGCGGATTCAAACTCATTTAAATAATTCAACAAGGTGGCTAATAAAAATTACAATGTCACATTACTAATTAACACGTTCAAGCCATATAATTTTTTAAAATCTAGAGGAATTAATATTCCGTCAGTTTTTAAATTAGTCTCGACGATCGGTAAAATATCAGCCGATAAGATACGACGATTTCTTCTCGTTTTCTTTTCAGGAAGTCTCAGATTTTATATCCATCTCGTGTGTATTTTTTACGCATCCTTTTTTTACGTAAAAAAAATTCTAACCTTGAATCTTAAAAAGATTCGGGGAAATGTCAAGATTCGGAATGAGACATTGATCGAGTTCGCGGCCCCGCCTTGTTGTGAGATTCTGTGGATTCTTGGAATAGCAATCCGAATCCATTGACATTTTGAGATGGCAATCCGGCTCCATTGTATTGTCACCGGATAGGTTGAATCAAGAACAACGTTTCGTTTTTAAAATTATAGGTATAATTAACAAGTTTTGAAAGAGAAATGGGCAATAAACGTAGCAATCTTCAGAAGTACCTTTTAAAGTTTATTCGATGGTATTTTTAACGCGATGCTGTGATAAAATGGTCTCAAAATAAAGAAATCAAGAGTTGACAATTAATTATACTTAACATTTTGCAAAATTAATTAAATAAAATTAAGATGTAGTCGTATTTATGCGATGCAAAATTAGTTTTAAATATCGTTCTTAATATACTGCGATCTCTTTAAAAAATATCGCAAAACATACATTTCAAGAATGTAATTGAAGCAATAGATAATGATGAAGTTGCGGTATCATTGAGCGGTTTCCTTCATCCTGCTCCTTTCTCTCGATAACATTCTCCGTGATCTACATTTTTTTATTTGACCTAGATTACACGGCAGTTTTTTAATTTCAACGTTTATTCAGATGATCTTCAGTCTTCTCAGAAATGCGCGAACATTTTAATGCAATGCCTAACACGCCTCTGCAAATATCCTTTACTCAAATGTGTCACGTAAATTAAAAAATTCTGTGTCGATATCTTTTCTTTTCAATTATGTTATACGTAATTAACATCCGTCGGCATCAAACGAGTTACCGGTTACGTATTCACCGATATATTTTTTTTACAATATTTTAGTATACCATTTAACTAGTAAAGCGGTACTTGTGGTTTTTCTACTTGTTTTGCGCACCCGTGTCACCCTGCCGGACGTCAAAATAAGAGGGCTCGAACTAGCGACGCAGTTTTTTTTAATTGTAAAAAAAAATTACGATATGCAAGCCCGACGTGAGAAACGCTCGCTCTTTCGGGCGTCTGCGAGCGAACTCGACGAAGCCGATCGCGATCGATCATCGATCTCGTCGCGTTCGTTTTCGTGTCGTAAAGAAACACGCCGTTGCGAAAGCACGTACTCGGAGTACATGCTGATTAAATACCAATTATTAAAAGACGCGGGCTTTTATTACGCCTACATGTCCGCTTTTCGTACAAAGTGAATTTGCGCAAGACGTGGCGTAAAAAAAATGACGCAGAGATGATTGCCGGCTTCGTCCGGTTTTATAAGTGCACGATAATTTATTGAATTTTTTGAATCTCACCCCAAGATCCTGCCGGCTTCGGGCTTTCTGTAAAAGTCACATCTGTGCAGCTGCCTCCTAGGATTGTCGATTTCGGATCTTTGACCCGCAGCCTGGCATAGTGCGCGATACAATTGGAATTGCAGGACCCCAGCCACGAAATTTCTGTAAAATATGGGAGAAATTAATTAACTTATATCATACCTCTCTTACGCATTAAGTATGTTTCGACATACTTAATGAAATGTTGAATATTTTGTATATTCGCGCGCGGAAAGAAATATTACAGCATAAAAACAATCTCGATGAGTATACTCTGGTAATGTGAAAATTTGACGGCCATTCATTACATCAACGAATGTCTTTCTGTCGCATTTTTTTAATTTTATAATTGAAACTGGACTTTATAATACACGGAGAGAATTTTTTCTTAGAATTTACCCTGAAAATATGACAATCGTGGGACAACATTGTATTTCGAAGAATTTTAATATAAATCTCTCTCAAAAAATATTGTATTGTACCACAATCACCATATTTTCAGGGTAAACTTTAAAAGAAAATTCTCTCCGTGTACACAATATTAAAAAATATTATCGCGGCTTGAAAATTATGTTAACAAAATGTTCGTGAAAGGGTAGAAAATAAGTTCGACGTTTCGACGAAAATCATACAAGTTTGATAACAATTATATGAAATTTATAAGGAAAATAGTATATTTTAATATCTAAATAAATTATTATTCTAATATATTATATATAACACAGGTATCTTTTCATCTTTTATAAACCATCGGAGAGAGAAATTATATCGAGCAATTCGATTACTTATTCATGACTAGTCTAGATTCAAGTTGAAATGGCTCTAAAGATAGACGATGCGCTGGTCACGTCGAAACTGTCAATTTTCGTGTACCTTGAAGCAGTCGCTTTCAAGGCCAGTGTCAATGAGGTCGGCAGGGTTACGGAGAATCTCGGTTTCTATGGATCTAGTAATATGACGGTAAAGATAGTACTCTCGCCTTCATCGAGCGTGTAGACCGGCATTGCTGTCAGGTAAGTGACTGTAGAGAGAGAGTGAGAGAGAGAGAGAGAGAGAGAGAGAGAACGCTCGGCAATAAACCAGTAAGCATGCCGCCGTTTCACCGAGAGACTCTTCATCGGCAACGACCTTTACGTAATACCGTCCAGGCGATCCGCCCGGGGGACCGCGGCTCGGAATTACGGTCGTTATTCCGACACTTCCACTTTCCATGATTCTCTCGCTCGCTGACCGGGTCTCCCATCGTTTGAAAATAACGTACGAAAGTGTTGTAACACTCACGACGTCCGTACACGTATACATATGTATATATTGCGACTACCAGTGCGTGCGTGAAGTCATCGACGAAATTAATAAAATTTGATTTCCCAGGCTAAATAGAGTTTTCAGGAAGGAACGCGCAGCTTATGACCACCCACGTAAGCTCTATACTGTCCCGGATGCACTACTGTACGTTGGGATTGTTGGGAAATAGAATTCCGCACGGCATTGGTTTTATAATCGATTTTATAACCGGCGTAAATATTAACTACGCGTCTATTAATTATGATACTTTTAATTATAGCGATCGTTAATTGCGCATTAATTTGTTCTTTCGGTATACAGACGCGAAATTGCGAGAGATAGCTTTTATAAAGCCAATATTCTCTCACAGGCGCAGTCGGATAATCCGATCAGGCGCTGGAATATAAAATTCGACATAAATTATGTGGCATTATGAAATTCTCCGCGAAAAGACGGATCCACCTGATTTCGCAGTTACGGCTGTTTTTACTAGCAAATTTTATCGATTAACCTTTCTTGTCTACCCACATTTCACGGGTGGGCGAGCGCATCCAAATAGCAATGCGGGAGAGTCAAAGCGAGGCGTCGTATCGGTATTCAAGGGGAAAGAATCGTCCCGCAAGAAAAAGCTATTAAATTGGGTTACACGGTTGAAATGGAGCCGAGACCTTCGCTTTAAATGACAAGCGTCGTCGGACGATTTCGAGCATTCAAATGCGGTTTTTTAGTCAGAAAACGATAGCCTTATGACGACTTTATTAATATCACAGATAACCAAGTATGTCGATGTTTACCGGCGCATTATCCATAATACGTGATTATCTTACCCGACGACCCTGATACTATATCAACTCCACTCAGCAAATGATACCGCGCAAAGTTACTCGCTGAAATCCACGGGGGTACAAGTTGTTTTTCACGAGCGCTTGTTAATATAATTAATAGCGGAAGGACGAGAGCGAATACGACGAAATCAAACAGAAAGTACGATAACAAATTAGGACAGTAGAAAAAAATAAATAAGACGATTTTATATAAACTTGTTTAATTTTCCCGTAATTAACATGGTATATAATTGATTAATTTTTCATATAATAAATACATTTCAAATTTTGAAAGCTCCACTCGTCGATTCACTTTCTCTGGTTTCAATTTAAATTCTACTATCTTTTCTAATTTACGGCAAATTATTCATTTCTGTGTCAGATTACGAAATCGTTTTAGAGAGCTTTTGCCTCCAGTCCGACCAGTCATTGTTACATGATGAATTAAAGCGCGCGAAATTGTATCTCTCGATGGAAAAAGGAATCTCTTTTCCTCTTCCTTCATTCCGATTACGGAGCACGTCGCTTTCGCCCGTGAAAAACAACTTGTAACCCCGTGGATTTCCGCGAGTAACTTTGCGCGGTATCATTTGCTGGGTGGAGTTGATATAATACCACCACACAGCGTCGTCGCGTAAGGTAATCACGTCTCGGATAATGCGCCGGTAAACATCGACATACTTGGCTGCATACAAGGCGGAGGAGGAAGAGGAGGAGGAAAACGGAACTTACTAGCCGACTGGCCGAGCAAGATCGTGACGTGGGACCGCGTGTCCCACGAAAGGGAGCAATGGGTGCACCCACGAGATCGACGGGAGATAAATTCTAGCGAGGTGCCGCACGCTGTCTATATGCATCTATACATGTATATATATATATATATACAGGGTGTTCCGTATCGTTTCATTAATATTTCAGAGAGAAAGAGGATGAAATTTTGAACTAAAAGTTCCTTTACCAATTTTGGCTCAGACCATTGCTTATCGAGTTATTAATGATTGAAAGTTGATCAATCAGGTAGTACGCAGATGGAATATGACGGAATAATTATTGTACATTTATATATTATGTAGACATTCTTGTGTTAATTATATAGAAATTGGCGTAATTAGATCCACGCTGTGTATATGCTCTTATTGTCTATTTTTTATTGGATTCTGGAATATGCATCAGGAGTATAGTATGTCATGGGACTCCTCGCGCTTGCTATGCACATTATCTCAATCGAAACTTATTCTAAATTTTTATATTAACAAATAAATCAATCAGTCAAGTCTGAGCGAAAATTGGCAAAGGAACTTTTAGTTCAAAATTTCATCCTCTTTCACTCTCTGAAATATTAATAAAAAGATACGGGACACCCTGTATATGTACGCTATTACGTGGCACCGTTACGAGGCGTCGAGCACCGCGTACACGGGCGAGGTGAGGACGAAAACGGAACAGTAATAGCGAAAGGGAGAGGATAACGTTGATCCGCGCGCGATTCGCGTGACCGTTGCAGTCGATCGCCACGAAAAATGACGTATTGAATGGCACGTAGAATGAAACGTACGTTACGTTGCGTCAATGTAATCGGCATACGACAGGTTTATCGAGAAAGATATGAAAACGAAAGGAAATTCTGTGTAATTCGAGAAATTCATGCTCTAGCTTTTAATCATTTGTCGAGTTAAGTGTTCTCGTTTTTTATTGAGGCTGAAATTAACTACGATTAATATTATAAATAATGGTTACGTTCAGTAGAGAAAGTAGATCTGCAACTGTTGTAAAATTCTTTAATACGAGTGCCCTTAGTTTCTCATTATAGATCTAAATGTACAATCACATAAAAAAATTTTGCAATTGTTACAAAACTGCCAAAAGCTGTTTCCTCTGCTGTCTCGCAATTAATGATTAATAATATATAACGAATTGGGACTTGATTATCTGAATTACATCCGTTACATAAATCTGGAAATCATAGGTGAATTAATAAAGCAAAAGGAGCAACGTTTCTACGGTTCCATCAAAATATTCTAAGCTATTCGGAAACGACAAAGTGGAAAGCGGGAAATTTACGATATTGAAGACACATAGACAAGACTAGACGTAACGCTGGAATGCGAATTATGCATTCTTGCAGGAGAACACGGAATTGTAGGAAAAGGATAGGAAATTAGTGTAATTTACTGACAGAGAAACCAGGTTGGCATATGTCAATGTCCTACACTAGCATGTACGTATATAAGTAGTTTCAAATTTATCGTAGATAAATTAAAAAGAGTCTTGAAAAAAAAAAGAAAGATACATGAATAAAACTTAGTCAGAATATACAATACAATTCTCCCATGTTCGATTAGACAACAGACCGTGCATAGTTCACGGTAATAAAATACCAGGTTTCGCAAAACGTGCAATCGATTGCGCATTTCGATGATTGCGATTTAATCCCCCGGAAGGGTTTTGCCGATTTCCGTTCCAGTCGCAAGGTACTTCTACTTCAAGGAACTACGACACGCAGTAAAAGTTTAAAACTCGATTGGAGCGCACTTTAACTACATTTCGAAACGGGAAAATCCCGGGATAAGAAAACGTCATTAGATTGCGTCAGATGTAACACCAAAATTGACAAAACTAGTTTTTCAACGAAATTTTATCAGACTTATATTGACGTATAAATCTCTTGTGCGAGACATGGATGCCAACGGCACAGTGACAGTTGACGAGAATTTGCTGAATTGATGCGTGTCGCGTTTCTATTCGATATATCCGTATAAGCTGACAGATTTATCGGTAAACGGATTGTAAATTGTAACCCGTAAGAACGGATTCTCGAGCAAAAGTTACGTGCAAAGAGACTAGTTTTAACGTACTGGATTAATGTGAGCGTTCGCTTGAACTGGAAAAACACACGGACGCGATCGATGTCACGTCGGCAGCTTCCGACACCAAGGGGAGTCTACGACGGTAACGATTGGTATGTCCATCGTTCCTCAGAGAAAGTAACATATAAAACCAAAGCATAGCAAAGGT